TGATTGACAGCCGGCTGAACAGGAGCCAGCAGTGTGCCCAGGGGGCCAAGAAGGCCAATGGCATCCTGGCTTGTGTCAGCAATAGCGTGGCCAGCAGGGACAGGGAAGGGATCTGACCCCTGTACTCCGCACTGGTGAGGCCGCCCCTCGATTCCTGTGTTCAGTTTTGGGCCCCTCACTACAAAAAGGACATTGAATGACTCGAGCGTGTCCAGAGAAGGGCAACGGAGCTGGTGCAGGGTCTGGAGCACAGGTCGTACGGGGAGCGGCTGAGGGAACTGGGGGTGTTTAGTCTGGAGAAGAGGAGGCTGAGGGGAGACCTCATCACCCTCTACAGCTCCCTGAAAGGAGGTTGCAGAGAGCTGGGGATGAGTCTCTTTACCAAGTAGTAAATGACAGGACAAGAGGGAATGGCCTCAAGTTGTGCCAGGGAAGGGTTAGACTGGATATGAGGAATCATTTCTTTACAGAACGGGTTGTTAGGTGTTGGAATGGGCTGCCCAGGGCAGAGTCCCCATCCCTGGAGGTGTTTAAGAGTAGAGTCAACATAGTACTGAGGGATATGGTATATTGGGAACTGTCTGTGTGAGGTTAATGATTGGACTGATCTTCAAGGTCTTTTTCAACCTAGATGATTCTGTGAATAAAAAGGGTATTCAAAGTAATGCAAAACATACTCCATTGCAACTAGTATTTATTAAAAATGCAGTGGACAAAACAAAAAAGCAAGCTTCCAAAAAGTAGTCATTTCATCAACATATATTACACCACTGCCCACCCAGCACCACTGAAACAAACAGTGCTATCAGCTCATTTCATTGGCAAGATGTTCTGTTGACCCGTGCTTGGTTTATTATCTATAAATGTGCATAGTTTCAAGACTGGATAATGTAACATGAGCATAAAATGGCACCAGTCTGTTTGCCCAAAGCTTCCAGCCACTCTCAACTCAAGGAAGTTGTGAAATGTGCGTAAGTAGTGAAATGTGCGTATCAGTCATGCATGTGCTCTGTAGTCCCTTGTCCTTATGTCCTTATAGTGAGCTTTACAGCATGACAGCAAACTTCTCAGAAGCCAAAGACTCATATGCCTCAAAGCATCATTTTATTACTACTCATTTTATTACTACTAAGTCTAATTTCCTTTTTGTTTCCAAAACTAGTTAGAGACTGGCTGAAGGCAGGGAGGGCACGGTGTGTTGTGGGTGGTGGTGGGAATTAAGCGCTTCTGTAAATCAGTTAATTTAGCAGGTTACACATGCTTCCTTTTCCTGGCAATTTGTTTTCATGCTGAGCTAGGAAAACTTTTGCCCTGCAGGCACAGCAGCTCCACAGATGACCATGGTCTTTCATATACGTGGGGTCAGGGTGGTGGTTGGCACTCAGTACGGCAGTGCTAGATACATTCCTGGGAAGTAGCAGGAGTGCCCCTACTTAGAGACAGATCAGTGGTATCAAAGGAATGGGGACTAAACACTGAATGTAGGTGTACAAATGTTTGTGGAGCTTGGGCAACAAGCTTTCCAGACTCCTTCCTCTTTCAGCTGTAGCTACTGTGTGGCATTGTATGTGCTGAATATCACAGTAACAATGAATAAAAAATCAAATTTATTCACCTGCAATGGAAAAGGTAGCTAGTGTATGAGATTTGTAAAGGATCTGTAGTAAAACCTATTGCCTCCTCATCTTAGATCTGTGCTTGCTTTAAGTGAGCAGGATGTGTGTGACTGTGTTGTGTGCTTTACTGATGCTCACAGTAATCTAACCTTATTTAATGAGACACAGCTACTTGCAAAGTTTAAGATGCTTTTTTGGTAGCCTTTTTGACATTATTAGAGCTGTCTTCAACTCTCTGTGCGTATGGAGAGGGAGCACCCTGAATCATATGCAACTTCACATTAGCCATAAGCATTAGAAAACAAGTAAACCAAAGTTGAAAACACCCTGTTAGGAGAATTTAATTTAACCCTTGAAAAGGGCCCATCAGTATTAACAACAATGTTGAGTAATTTCTTACCTAGGATAGTCAATTATCAAAGCTATTTAATGCTACATGACAGTGGCCGCTGGTATATTTATGGGGACATGCTAAGTGCTCTGAGGCCAGAAGAATTCATGAAGTGAATTAGAGAAATATGCAGGAAAACACTCTGGCCGAGGCAACACAACTAACTTACTCTTCCAAGTGGCTACTAGTCCTTAAAGTTTGTTTTATCTGGCAGGACTACACAGGTTGCTGGTTTCTAGGAGCTGCACTCTAGGATTAAAAAACTGAGAGTCTTCTGGGAGCTTGGTGTGACATCTATTTCTAAAGTCAGGGAGAGCTGACACCTTACTTCCATGCATGGCATAATTAAGCCCTTAAGCATGCAGACACAGGGCCTCAATGTATTTGAGTGCTAAGGTCAAAATGCTGGAACATGCTTCTAACATTGTAAAAGGTATCTTTCAGATCAGCAAAGTAATTCTTCCAAACCCAGAAATCCTCTGTTTCTACATCATGTTTTACCCAGCACTCAAGGCAGAGAACTGGGTAGCTGCCATCTTTTTGTTCTTTTGAAACTTACGTGGGTATTTCCCACTTGCAGGCAAGGGAAGCAGTAGCAATGCAAAGGGACAGGAGCTGCCCCTCAGTTATAATCTCTTGCTATATGGCAAGGTTCCCGAGCTGTGTTCTTCTCACCATCACCTTCTAAATTCAACTAAGGAGGTCAGTGGGACAGATGGACAGACAACTCTGAAATCTTAATCCTTGACTTAAAAGTAGTTGCCAAATAACAGCACTTTCAGCACTTGCTTCTTTTCCAGAGCTCTTGGTTGCATGGTGTGATGACAGCAGCTGTGAATATTTCACAACAAGAAGAAAAAAAAACCAAACACATCTGTGGTATAACTAAGAATCTTTGCTCAAGCTCATGGTAAGAACACTGAAATGAAGGTACTGGTAGAATGGACAAGTCTGTCCTCAAAAACACATATGGTTATCAAGAGGGATAAGTGCCTCCACTGTTCACCCAGCAGTAAGCTGACAGGGTAAGGCAAAACTGGAGTCATAGGGTTGTTGGACGATATACCTGCTGAGGCCTCCAAGCCTGAGGAAAAGTAGTTCTGCAAGAAGCTGAACCGGAGCAGTGGTCATCTGGAGGGCTGGAGGTGTCTGCATGTGATCTAGACCCTTGAGAAGTCTCCCCTCTGCCCGCCTGTCTTACTAAGCAACTTCACCTCTTCAATCACAATGTCATGAGTAACTGCTTTGCACATGTCATACACAGTCAGGGCAGCCAGGCTGGCAGCTGTTAGAGCTTCCATCTCCACACCTGTCCTCCCCCAGGTCTGACAGGAGCTGCGAATCACCACTGCATATCTGGTCTCATCCAGGCTCAAAGACACTTCAACATGGTTGAGGGGGATGTTGTGACACAACGGAATCAACTGGCTGGTCAGCTTGGCTCCCTGAATTCCTGCAATCTGGGCTACTGCCAGCACATCCCCTTTCTTCACCTGGTTCTGCCTCACCATCTCAAATGCCTTCTCACCCAGACGGACCATAGCACCAGCAACAGCACTTCTTCTTGAATCTGGCTTCCCTCCAACATCAACCATTGTGGCCCGTCCCTCCTCATCAGTGTGAGTCAAGCTGTCAGAGGCATGAGGTACCTTGGTGCAAGATCCCAAACCCCTGGTGCAGAATTCAGATCCTGGACTTGCCTCTTTGGACTGACAGTCCACAGAAACTTGGCCAACAGGAGAAGCCTCAAGGCACTTTGTGTCAAATGTGGAGCTTGGGTCCTTCTGGAAGACACAGCAGCCTCTAAGCTGGGTTTGTAGAATTCCTGTCATTACATGGCACTGTTGCTCTGGGTGAGATCCTGGCAGGAAAAGTTGTCCTGTAAGCTTATTTTTCATTAATGCTTTCCCCATTTGTTTGGGTAAACTTGCTCTCAAAGTCAGCCAATGGCTAAATGTGTGGCTGCGCTCTTTTGAATTTGGGGGATTCTGTAGGGCATCTTGGCATAGTGAGAATGACATCAATGCAGGCTCTGGGGGGGGGAAAAAAGAAAAATAACA